TTGTAGTCGACATGAGAAATTGATATTACATTTTTCAGATTGAATTAATTGATTGATGATAACGGTATCCAAATTCAAAGTGGAACATTGAATAAAATGGATGAGGATCACACATTTATTGAGTGCTTATTCAATGAAGTTACACAACACGATTTAATGAATACTTAAAATAATATATAAATTTAAAAAAGGATATCTGTGTCGAGATTGAATGTTATGTGACCCAAGTCATTGATCTTTTTGGACACACCATAATCTGGTAAGTTTTTCCTAAAAACAAACATAAGTTAACGCTACCGTCGTACAAAAAAGCACTGAAACATCGCTTCATCCGCCCGAGACAAAGTCGTTCATCGATGTACTTACACTTCGACTTTGAGCGTCTTCATCTCGGTACCAGTCCGGTAATCGACCAATATGGTGGAAAGAAAACATGCAAACGTTAGAGTGACGAGCACGCTCAGCGTGTACGCCAGCACCGAGTTGCCCCGGGACAGTAAAGAATGCATGGGTAGGCGATTTGGTCGGACAAACGATTTTCCAACAGTCTAAAAAACGATTTGTCTGTGGATGAACTAAAAGCGTCTTGACTCTTGAGCACTCGGTTTTAGGCGAACATAATAACGAAAAAATGCTAAACACTAAATACGTATACGATTGGTTTTAACGGGTGACGGATAATGGATATTATCAAATATTATTTCGGTGATAACAGAAAATCGTGACGTTGAGCATAATATTCTAACCAGGTAACCGAAAACGAAATTCGTGACGTGTTGCGGGAAAACAATCGCCGAGGCTCGTCATCACATTTCAAACATTTCGTCCGTTTCTAAATATGTATAGGCACAGACGCACAATGTGCATTTCACCCTTTTTTATTTTTGTAAAACGTCTTCTTTGGCATGCCATAAAAAAGAAAAATGTACATTAAATTTGACATGTCAAAGTCATTATTTTGTATTCCGACACTAATAATTAAATAATATATTATAATACGTAATAAGAATACCTACTAATATAGATTTATTGCAAACATACGCTAAACTTTACGGTAAAAATAACGTTCCGTTAAACGAGAAATAGCGTAATAACTAAAACTGTAATTTTTGCATTACCGTAAATGACGTACCTACTCATATAAATACGGTATGTCGATAGTCGATATCATATTTACATAAAATATTTATCATTACAATGTTGTAATTATTTTATTACGTGTTGTTCACATTTTTACGGCAAATCCACGTCACGCGTGCCAAAAGTGGTACGTTTATAAAATTTAAATCGGACGTCGTGAAAAATTGAAATTGAGAAAAATTATGCTGCTCTTTAAATTTTATTGTAAAAAATTCAAATAAATTATAAATTATAAACTTTTTAAAAGTTATAATACTCCTATATGTAAAATTGATTATGTTACTATATTTAATATTTTCTATTCTTACTAACTTTGGGCCCGTGAACAATTTTCAAACCCTTAATTGCAAGGATTTGGCACAAGACCCAAAAAAGGTTCGTCACTTCTGGTATAGGGTATATTATCGTAAAACGAACAGTTTTATGTACGTGGATACTGTAAGGTACCTACTTAAAATTTTAATACAAGGGAACTCTCAGCTTCGTAGCCAGAATTTTTTTCGGGGGGCTGATCAATTTTTTACACAGCGGTGCACTAAATACCTATTAGCACGGCCGAAGCTATAGAAAACTAACAAAATAAAGATGACAATTTAAAGTTAGTAAAATACAATTTAAGACTTTTGAGTGAATATTGTAGACCATGGTTAGGGTTAGGTTAGGTTAGGTATTAGCTACTTATATTAGCTACGCCACTGGGAACTCGTATACTATAATTAAATTTATTAAGCATTTCTAATATTACAAAAATTAATAATATTATACAAATATACCTACCTTTTATAGAAGACTGTAGGTTTATCAAATGTTTCCGTGATGGGAGGGGGACAACGCCAGATCAAACCTAGACGAAGTAAGACACATTATAGGTACCTATATATATATAAGTATGATTATATAAGTTTACATTCTATCACAGTGTATCAAAGTGTTCGATAAGGATTTAGAATTTTAAAGACGAAAGAGACTGCGGAGATTTAGAAAATTGAGATTTCACAATTTCATACTTTAATATTGTTTTGGTTTAATTGTTGGTAATATATGATGTTTTTTTTTTTTTTTAGACACTTAGAAAACTTTTGAAAATATCCAGTGATTTG